GGGCAATCCTACTTCCGTAGTGATACTGCCTCGAAAACCCAAGGAGGGGTCGCTATGAGTCGGGGCCGACTCGATGGCACATAATAACAACAACAACAACTGCTGGAGCTAAGGAGGTAAAGGGTTAAGAATAGGTTTGGGTTTAAACTGTGCATAAATGGGAAAGAGAGGAGGAGGGTTGGAAAGAAGGCAAGAGCATGATATGATATGGTACATGAGTTACTCTAAAAAAATTAACAATTGTAGATGTAGAGGTATTTATGAAATATTAAGCTTGCAATATACCTAATAAAAGAGCAAAAAGATTAGTTATTAATACAAATTTAAGTCTAACTACGATTAGAATACCAAACCAAAACCAAACTCACTGCCATCAAGTCAATTCCAACTCACAGCGACCCCCACTGGGTTTCCAGGGCTGTAAATCTTTACTGAAGTAGACTGCCCCATTTTCCTTCCGCAGAGTAGCTGGCAAGTTTGAACCGCTGACCTTCTGGTTAGCAGCCAAATGCCTTATCCAGTATGACATCAGAGCTCCTTGATTAGGATACAGTAGATCTTAGTAAGGGAAGGTCTTATCTTTGGGACTATTATTCCTGGGTCTGGGACCTAAGCAGTCTGCCTGCAAATTCAAATCTAAGCCTGGCTTAGAATTCTGGCTGCCACGATGGCCCAAGCCAGGCATCTATGTGCAATTGGCAGTTCTGTTTTGCTCCTTATAAATGAAGTTGTCGTAGAACCCCTGGGCCTCTGTTAGCAGCACCTATACTGTTGTTGTTGTTATGTACCACTGAGTCAGACCCAACTCATAGTGACCCCTCCTTGGGTTTCTGAGGCAGTATCACTATGGAAGTAGATTACCCCAAGGAGTGGCTGGTGGGTTTGAACCACCAGCCTTCTGGTAAGCAGTCAAGTGCCTTAGGCTCTATGCTACCAGAGCTCCCAGCAGACCTCAAAAACAGAAAGTGAGAGCTCATTCTATGAAAAAGATAAGACTATAGACTATAGCCTGTGGGGTTGGCTTGGAATTGGAGGTATCAGGATGAACTCATAGTTTTAAGAATATATAAAAAATATAGTTAAACAGATACAGCAATATAGATATGTTTATATGTAAACATATAAATGTATATGTGTGTTTGTCTGTTAGCTTGCATATTTATTTATTTTCTGACTCTGTCCTCTGAGAGAGAGGGCCTAGAAGAAATGATACAACTGTGACAATGAGCATACCTAGTGTCCCCACCTTGGTTACTGAATACCATTCTCCACTGAAAGGAACCAGGGCTCCTTGGAGAAACTTACACTATGAGCAGGGCAACTTACACTATGAGCCTGGAGCATCTTGTTGCACCAGACAGAAAGGAAGTGCTCTGAGAATGATGGAGACATGTCAAAGGGACACAAAAACCAGCTTGAGGGAGCTCCCACTGGCCAAATCTGAACATCACAATAACGATAAGGATTAAAATCTGTGAATGAAGTAATAGTCCAAGAGTCCACATTGCTATACACCGGGGAAAAGAAAGCTCTTCTTTACAGTAGAGCACCAACTAATAAAGAGAAGAAATGATAGAAAATCCATTCTACAAAAAAAAAAAAAAAAACAGCCTGGACTCTTCAAAATCATCAAGGTCAAAAATGAGAAAGGCTAAGGAAATGTTCCAGATTGAAGGAGATTAAACATGGTAACTAAGTAAATGCAATGTGTGATCCTAGATTAGATCCTAGACAGCAATAGGCGAGGAGTGGAAGAAGAGTTACAAAGGGCATTCCTGAAACAATTGGCAAATTTAAATATGGACTGTGGATTAGATAACAAGGTTATCTATATCAAGGTTCCTTTTCCTGGATTGGATAACTGTGCTATGCTATATAAGAGAATGTCCTTGTTCTCAGGAAACACACACTTAAGTACATTGGTACAAAACGTAAAAGGCAAACAATCTGTGAATCTGACTGAGTAAGGGAGTTCCATATGCTAGCATAGTTCCCTATACTAGTTTCTTATACTAGCTCGAGATTTTAACAGGTAAGAGACCCCGGGCCATGATTACGTTTACATGCCCAGTGTACACAGGTCCTGCCGCCAGATTGAGGGAAAAAAAAGAGTGACTCAAAAAGAGGAGAGATCATTTAGATTTTCAATTTGTAAATGTTAGTAGATGAACACATGTAAACTAGAGTTTAGTTAGAACCAGAAAACCAGGCTGGTCATCTCAACTTTTCCTTTCAGAAAGCATATAATCAAAATGTTGAATATGCATCAAGTTTCTTTTTAAATTCCATTTCTGGGCCTTGGGAGAAACTAGTTTGTCCTGTGACAAATTAGTTTTTTTATACCAAATACATATATTGGGTACATGTATTTATATAACTATAAATTAACACCCCACACACATCACTGAAAAAGACCAGCAAGTGAAGCACTGGACCTCTGGGCACCGTCTGCACCAGTGCAGAGGTAGTTTAACGCTGCTGAAGGGTTACCTTGCATATTAAATGGAAATGCTCCAGTGAAGAAAAATGGTTGGAATGCTGGTGCCGGTCCTGCATATGTTCCATTTTGAGGCTCCAGAGACACTGGTGGCTTGGATGGGACAGATGAGAACAGGGAACGGCTCTGACTCACAGGTGGCTGACAAACAGGACCTGGTTTTGTGCTTTCTGGTGTTCTGAGTATGGCAGAGGGGGCAGACACATCACCGTTCTGAACCAGTGCCAAAGAGGTGTGGTCCCGTGGAAAGGATCCTAGCAGGGGAGGGTCCTCAGTGGGGAGCAATGGGGATGTGCCATCTGCAGGGGGTGATGCAGGCGGTGTGGAGGGGCCCCCGTTCTGCAGCTGGGCTGAATCCTCTGCTGCGGTGGTGTATATAAAAGGGAAGGCTGGGTTGGCCAAATAGTTGGGAACAAAGGGCAGTTCTGACTCCTTCTTCAGCTGCAGGAGGCTGCCATCATCATCATCATCTTCTTCCACTTAAAAAGAAGCAAACACAAAATTTACATATCCTTTTAAAAATTATGAACAAAAAGGTGTTTCTTTTGTCCTTTGGTATGTGACAAAAACTTTGGTTAGTGCTTCCTGCTTCCTCAGGTCAGAGAAAAAAAGAATATTGACCGGGTTTCTAATTACCATTTTTGGTAGTCTTAAATTTTACAAATAAAAAATAAAACCTTGTAAGACTGACCTTTCCAGAAACTAATGATTAGCCTTTAGCGATTAGCCTTTAAAAACAGACCAGTTGTTTGACAGGCATCAAGAATACAGCCAATAATACCATATATCTTCAAGTCAGTTTGACAAAATCAAAAGTTGCCCCAAAACACAGACTCACCTCCCATGATCTTCTTGATTTCTCTCCTTGATGTCAACTGCACTGGCATTTCTCCTTTTGTGGTAAGAATCTCTTTGTCAGCTCCGGATTTTAACAGGTAAGAGACCACCTGGCCATGATTGCGTTTACATGCCCAGTGTAAACAGGTCCTGCCAGATTGGGGGGAAAAAAAGAGTGATTCAAAAAGAGGAGAGATCATTTGGATTTTCAATTTCTAAATGTCAGTGAATGAACACATGTAAGCTAGAGGTTAGAACCAGAAAACCAGGCTGGTCATCTCAACTTTTCTTTTTAGAAAGCATATAATCAAAATGTTTAATATGTGTCAAGTTTCTTTTTAAATTCCATTTCTGGGCCCTGGGAAAAACTAATTTGTCCTGTGAGCTCTAATTTCCGTGGCTTCCAGAAGGCTGGCTGAATTACTTCAATGATACTACAGTGTCATTCTATCAGTATCTCTCACTAAAACATCTCAGTCTCTTTAAAATTTATATTTATATTGCTACATTCCTTTCTAGGGGCTTTAGAAACTTGCTTCATATGCATCAAATGCCATTTGGAGATTAAATATTGTCAGACTGATAATCATCTTTTATGTGCAAGCCTGTGCTGCCACTTCAATTATGACTGCAGCAGATATTCCTGGGTGAATGTCAGTTGCTTCCTCTCTCCTCTCTCTTCCTCTTTACTTTTCTTTCTTCATTAAAAAAAAAAAAAAAGCATTTCCAATTTTCCGTTAAAAAAAAATTTGGCTCCTCTAGTTCTCTCCGGAAGGCAACAAACACATCATCATCTGTTTCACTGTAAGACACTGCACACATACTTTAATTCTTAAGGCACTTGAAAAACTGTACATTCGTGACCAAAATTTTTCAAAAACAGACTTTTTTTAAATGTATCAGAATCATTTCAGTAAAAACTAATTATTTAATATTGTACACATAGGAAGCGATTATGCTCACTCTGAAGAGCCATCATTTTAATACTGCACAGAAATGTAATTAGCATGCCAGCAAAAATGACATCTTAACAGAAATTAAAGGATTCTGCACTACTAAATTCATCCCCAGTTGCCAAAGCTGAACACATATTGAGAAGAAAACACTTTCCCCCCTGATTTGAAATGGCCTCGTTCGTCAACTCTCTAACTGAACTGAGATAAATATCTTTAGAGCTTATAGCCAAATAGATTTGATGAAGAACAGAACATATGTGCAATAATGAGGGTTAAGTCACAACTTTGGGAAGCAGAGCCATCTAAAAAGTTTATTTGGTTCCAGGGAAAAGCTGATTTGCCCTGGACACCATTAACATCTGTGATTTACAGAAAGCTAGCTTGTCAGGGTGGCTGGGAGTAACTGCTGATGTTTCAGAGTGATGTTTCCCATTATCACTTGTTAGAATCAGAGTATCCTTTAAGGTTGCTGAAGGATCCCTGGTGGTGCAGTGGCTAAAGCATTTGGCTGCTGAACAAAAGGTTGACAGTTCAAACCCTCCAGCCGCAGATGAGGCAGTCTGCTTCTGTAAAGATGACAGCCTTGGAAACGCTACAGGGCAGTTCTACCCTGTGTTATAGGGTGGCTATGCGGTGGAATAGACGCGATAGCAATAGGTTTTCAGGTTACTGTGTACTCTATGACAACTTAACTGCCAGTTTGGGAAAATAAGGGAATAATCTTGACCTAGGCTTCTAAACTAGAAGCTCCGTGAAGATAAGAAAATATCTGCGTGGTACATACCAGGTGCTTAATTAACACTTGCTAAATCAGTGAACCAAAGAGAAGGCAGACATCACTTGGAATAGAAGGATCCAATACATCCTAGATGCAGGGCAAACTGCAGCCTAGGGTATGTTTGTGGGTGGTTGTCTGCGGTACATGCTTGAAAAGTGAATAATTATAATGATAAGTGAGCACTCAAAAATGAATGGAGCATGATGAGAAAAATATGCTCCCTTTTGGAAATAGAGTACTCACTTGCTGGTACTAAATCACTTGTTCATGGCAAGCTGGAAAGTGAAGGAGGTAATTTACTGCCCATGTGTCTAAGAGACTCTGGGACAAATCAACTAGCTAAAGCATCACCATGTAAAGTGGGATTAAGTCAACATAGCACGTCCCCCATAGCTCTGTGCCCTCAGTGACTATCATTTACAGGCCAGAGCTGTGTGACTCCAGGCAGCCATAACTCAGAGCCACTGCAGACAGGCCGTATTTTCAACTTCTTTAGGAGCCATTATAGTCGTTTCTTAAAGTCACGGGGTTTGCATGACACTTGGATTATAATTAATGTGGAGATTGGATTATAATTAATGTGGGGACTCTATCTTTGAACTTCAACCCTCAGCTCTAAATTTGCAGTCAGAAGATCCTGTTAGTGCTGGGCAGTATTTCAGACCAGAGGCACTGGGCATCACTCACCAATGCTGACATTGTGGCTTCTAAGCAACCAAGAAATGAAAGCAGTCACTTTCTGTGTTTTACGCCAGAGTAAGTTTTTGAGGGTGCCTTTATATCCCGTTTCTGAGCACATTGTTTAATAAGAAAATAATTTAACACAGACACAACGCTTTACATACTGGACATTGTTTAAAGTGCTATACATATATTAACTCAATCCTCAAAACAACCCATGAAGTAAATACTATTATTAACTTTCCATTTTACAGATGAGGAAACTGAGATAGTAAGCAAATAAGCAAAGCATATATAGTCTCCTGGGTGGGGATTAAGTGTAATAGGGACAAAGCAGGGAAAGGGATTAGGGAATGTCAGAAATTGGGGAAGGGTACGGTGTAATTTTAAATTGAGGGTCAAAGGTCTCAAGAAGATGACAACTAAGCCAAGACCTAAGGTAGGAGAGCAAACTTTCTGATATCTGGGGAGAAAGCATTTCAGACAGAGGGCTGAGAAGACGCAAAGGCCCTGGGTCAGAAACGTGTCTGGTCTTCCAAGAAAAGCAAGATGCCAGTGGGGCAGAAAGAAGTGAGCAAGGGGCAAATCCCAAGAGATGGGACCTAGAGTAAAAAGGGAGGGTGGGAGGACAGGAAGTAGAAGGCTTTCTCTTGGAGTGAGAGGGGGGCCATTAGAGGGTTTTGAGCAGAGTGAAATAGTCTGACCAATGCTTTAAACCAGGATCCTTCTGGCTGCTGTGTTGAGAAGACTGCAGGGTTTCAGGGTAGAAGCTAGGAGACTAGTTAGCAGGCTACTGCAACAAGCCAAGTGAGGGAATGGAGGCCTGTACCAGATGTACAGTGGTAGAGCTAGTGAGAACTAGTCAGATTTTGACTGTATCTGAGGTTAGTCAGCAAGATAAAGTGACTGATTGGATGTGGATGAGGAGAGAAAAAGAAAAGGCAAGGTGCCAAAGTTTCAGGCCTAAGTACCTAAAAGAAAGAAGCTGCCATTAGATGAGATGGGGAGGACTCAGAGGTGCAGGTTTGGGATGGGAGGCAGATGAAGGGAGAGACTAGAAATTCAATCATAGACTTGTTGAGTTTGAGATGCCTATTATTCTTTCCAAATTAAATTATCAGTAACTCTTCAGTTTACTTCAGATTCATCTTATATTTACTGAGCATCTACTGTGTGGCAATAGGAGCTCTGGTAGCATAGTGCCTAAGGCATTTGACTGCTAACCAGAAGGCTGGCAGTTCAAACCCACAAGCCACTCCTCGGAAGGAAGGTTGGGCAATCTACTTCCGTAGTGATACCGCCTTGGAAACCCAAGGAGGGGTCGCCATGAATCGGATAAGACTTGACAGCAGTGGGTTTGGGTATTATGTAGCAGGCATTGTGGGAGGGGAGGGTTTGGAGTCAGATGCCAAGTTTGTGTTCCAGCTCTCATGGTTACTGTAAGTTCTACAGCCTTAGGAAAATTACTTAACCTTTCTGGGTCTCAGTTTGCTCATCTGTAAAATGGAGAGAGTAGCATTAGCTATGTCCCTGAGTAGCTGCAGGTAACACACATAAAGTACTTAGAAGTGTGCCTATGCTGCAGAGCAAGCTCAGTAAATGTTAGCTATTAACATTATACTTCATTTTGTTAAATGCTCACATTCTTCTGAAAATAAATGGAAAACGAAGTGATTGGTATAGTGGCAAAGCTAGGCAGGAACGGAGAGGAACCTACAGCCAGACCAGGGCGCCTTCCTCTGCACAACACTGCCTCCTAGTGGCAAAACTGTAATTTACAGCTCATGGACCACAGCAATTTTAAGAGCTGTATGCTCGGGAACAGCAAGCTTGTTTGCAAACAGTAAAAGCCAGTGTCTACTCTTTCCTAGCTTTCTGAACAGCCACCCAGGCTGTTTTCTTAAGGGAGAAGAGGTAGACAGATCTGTAAGGAAGTCAGGGAACCACGCTTCTGAACCTGGCTATCATTATTAATGAGCTGTGTAATCTAGGGCAAGTTATTCTCTGTGGGGGAACCCACCTTCAATGTCCCTGTCAGTTCTAAAACGTATTACTCTAGAACTTGGAAAAGAAAACACCTATAAACACACTAACTCTATGGTAGCAAAACAGGCTGGTTAAGCATTACCTGGATCAAAAAATTTTAATTTTTACTTGCAAAGAGAGCAGAATAATACCACATCCAATAACTTAAAACTAAGGATTTGCTCACCAGCACATCTTAAGACAAGACACCCTATTATATTGGGAAGGGCTCAATCTGCAGGCAGGCAACTGAAGCCTTAACTTAAATTCTGTGTTCGCAGTTGTATAAGGAAACAAAGCAAAACACTATAGAATAAATGAATGAGTCTTCCTTCAACGAGCAGCTGTAGGCAGCTACAAATCACTGCTGCCAAGGCACAACAGAGAAGCAGAACAGTGATGCAAGTGGTTTCTGGTCTTTGGGAAAGAAATCGTGCTTGTTTGTAAGATTCATATTTGTTCAGTTGCTTATGCTTTTAGTTCTGCACGCATGTTTTCTTCACAAGTACCTACAGCAAAAGAATTCAATACTTGAACTAGGTTGAGCACCAGCGTGTACTAGTCACAGAGAATCATATCCTACAGCACCGTTCTAGTCAAATTAGCCGGCGAGCGGGGAATGGTGGGGGCGCCAGGGTCCCAGTGCGCGCTGCCCCGGGTGGATCACGTGGTGGATCGCGCTCCCGACTAAACCAGGCAGAGGGGAAAACAGGGCTAGCCTCGAGAGGGCAGAACCTCGGAGGTTCGAGGCGCTAGGCCTCGCCTTAGCCTGGAGGCCACGGCCCACTACTTACCGCCTGCGGTTGCTTGCTCTGACTCTAGGCCTCCCCCACTCCCCACTTACCAGCCGTTGACCTCATTTTGGGAGTTAACATCCACCCCGCTCTCCACCAGTTTCTGCACCTCTCGAATGTCCCCCAAGGCCGCGGCCTCTCGAAGCCTCTCCTGCTGCTCCTTCTGCTCTAGGAGGGCGTTCATCTTCCCTACGGCACTAGGCCCCCGCCTGGACCCGCCCGCCCTCCCCACCCGGGGCCTGTCAGCGCCGCCCCCGCAGTAGCCCGCTCTCAGCCATGAGGAGGGAGCGTAGAGCTCTCCTGCTCTGCTTGCGCCGTCGCCCGTGCCGGCCCGGGACTTCTGCTCCCTCGCGTGGGCCGCCTGATGCTCCCGGCCCATAGGCCTAGGCCTCCTTCCCGGCCGCGCCTCCCGAAGGCCAGCTCCGGGGGACCCTATTCAGTGTGACAACTCTGACCCAGATATTTTCCGTTCCTACCCTCGGCCCTGGCGCCCGGGCTTGCTGTTTATGTAACTGCTGCACAATATTATTTGCCGTGATTCATTGACTATTTTTAGATCTCCCCACTCCGCAGCTTCAAAGGAGGAGGACAGACACATGAAAAGAGAAAAAAGCGTATTTGAATGTCAGAAAAGCCTTATCCTCTGGCGCAGACTGTTTACTAGGCATCAAAAATAATTGGTGGGTTGTTTTTATTTTCTCCCAGTTTGGCTCGTTTTCCTTATCTGAGCCAACTCTTGCCCAGCAGGATGGGGAAATGGGCTGAAAATGATCCTACTATAATATGCCCATTATTGCAGAGATAGATTACACTGTTCTTTCTTCTTTTGACAGTGCTTGGGGCCATTCAGTTAGAATATTTCCATTGTTGCTTTACATCTCATTTCAGACAGATTTCTTCTATCTTGGCTTTCTGGGGTAATATTTATATTGTATAGAGTTCATCAGCTGTAATTTATTATTGCTTATAAATCATAGCTAATTACTTTTCATGAAGACCATAAATAGAAGAAAAAGGAAAAACACAAAGAATGCTTTGGCGTTCTAGTTGAGACCCCAGGAGCTCCAGGAAGAGCTATGGTGTGTACATAAACGGCACTTTGCCCGAGTCCTTGCCTAATCAATCTAATGAGGCTCAGGGCCTGGGTTGGCACTGTTTTTACTACCCAGTGGGAGAAAAAGAAATCTTGTTTTGCTGAGTCCAGGTACCTTGGAGAGATCCTCTAATGTGGCACAGGATGGGATTTTGCAGATGGGGTTAGGAGGATTAAGGAAATAACCTGGGGAGGAAGGGAGGACGGCCTGAACAAGGGAGATGAAATAGGAAGGGACAAATTTAGGCACTGAGTTTTCATTTCCATCTCATGGGGCTGCCCAAGGTATGCACAGCAAGCACTTTTCTTGCTATTGTTAGAAAAAAGTCTGTTTATTACGATACAGTAACTATATTCACAGAGAATACAGTTCACCCCAAGGCACTTAAATCACCCCCAGGGCAAATTGGAACTCTGCTTGAGGTTACATTTTTATTTGTCCCTCAATTTAAATTTTAATTCTCAAATCCAGTGTGATACTTCATCTGAAGCTAAGTGCATGACTCTGGAATTGGACCCTATAACACAATTTGAGGGATATGGGAGTATGCAGTTGTTTCCTTTAAAAAAAAAAAAAAAAAGCAGTTTAAAAAATTGTTAGTGACTGCACGCTGAAGTATGTGGGCTGTCTTTTATAAGAGAGTTTATTTTGTTTTATTTTTTGGTCAAATTTCTTTGCTTAAAAGGATTTATAGTATGTGCTCTATAGTAACTGTTGACTCAGTCAATATTAATATCTTCTTTAACTAAACCTCTACTTATCTCTTACTCCGATCTTCTGCTTGTTATCCTCAGATGAAAAACAAAAACTCTCTCCAAGCAAACCTCAGTTCCTGGCCATAATGAAAAGCACCCTGATGGCTATTCTATGCTTCATATTAATCTATACTTTGTCTTGTCTCTATGGAATTATCTAAGCATGCACTGTTTGCCAAGTACTGTTCCAGGCAATGGGGATGCTACTGCAAACAGAGTCCTGATTTCAAAGATAGCACACTATCTAGCAGGGAGACACTGACAGGCAAACAATAGAATGTAAGTATTAGAATAGAAGCAGTAAGGCAGATGGTGGTGAGTGTGAGTATAGTGGTTGTATGGAGATTGAAGCCAGACTGCGTGGGCTTGTATCCCAGCTTTGCCAGTCCTGTTATCTTGGAGGAGTTACCTAATCTTCCTGTGCCTTAATTTCTGCATCTGCAAGATAGTTGTTAAGTGCTGTTGAGTCGGCTCCAACTCATAGCGACCCTGTGTACAACAGAATGAAACGCTGCCCAGTCCTGCACCATCCTCACAATCCTTGCTGTGCCTGAGGCCACTGTTGCAGCCACTGTGTCCATCCATCCCATTGTGGGTCTTCCTCTTTTTCTCTGACCCTCCACTTTACTAAGCATGATGTCCTACAGGGACTGGTCCCTTCTGACCAAATGACCAAAGTAGGTGAGATGAAGTCTGGCCATTCTCACTTCTAAGGAGCATTCTGGCTACACTTCCTCCAGGATAGATTTGTTTGTTCTTCTGGCAGTCCATGGGATTTTCAGTATTCTTTGCCAATATCACAATTCAAAGGCATTAATTTTTCGGTCATCCTTATCCATTGTCCACCTTTCATATGCATATGAGGCAACTGAAAATACCATGGCTTGATCTAGGTGACCTTAGTCTTCAAAGTGACATCTTTGCTCTTGAACACTTTAAAGAGGTATTCTGCAACAGATTTGCCCAGTGCAATACGTTGTCTGGTTTCCTGACTGCTGCTTCCATGAGTGTTGATTGTGGATCCAAGTAAAATGAAATCTTTGACAATTTCAATTTTTTCTCCATTTATTATGATGTTGCTTTCTGGCCCAGTTGTAAGGATTTTTTGTTACATGTTGAGGTATAACCAATACTGAAGACCGTATTCTTTGCTCTTCATCTGTAAGTGCTTTAAGTCCTCTTCACTTTCAGCAAGCAAGGTTGTGTCATCTGTATTTCGCAGGTTCAAATCCACCCAGCAGCTCCTCAGGAGATCACCTGGCAATTTGCTTCCATAAACATTAAAACCGAAACCAAACCCACTGCCATGGAGTTGATTCCGATTCACAGCAATCCCCACTGGGTTTCCAAAGTTGTAAATCTTTATGGAAGTAGATTGCCTCATCTTCCTCCCATGGAGTAGCTGGTGGGTTTGAACCATTGACCTTCTAGTTAGTAGCTAAATGCCTTACCAACTACGCCACCAGAGCTCTTTCCCATAAGCATTACAGCCTAGGAAACCCTATGGGGAGTTCTTCTCTGTCACATGGGGTTACTATGAGTCAAAATAAAATTGATGGTACTTAGCAACAACAACATAGAATGGGGGCTGGAGACCACTGGCTGATAAGATTAAGTTGTTTCCCTTCTGTGGTAGTTCGGTTTGTGTGTCAACTTGGCTGGCCAGCTGGTGGTAGTAATCCCTATGATGAGACTGGCAATCAACTCCATGATGGGATCTACCTACCACAAGCGGCTGAGTAGCTGCCTTTGGGATGTGGTTTGCCTCCTGTATATAAGGAGAAGCCTTTGGGAATGGTCTCTAGCCTACAGCACGCTTGAACCCTACATGTTGCTGTCATTTTTCAGCAGCCTGCTATGCTCTGCCGACCTTGGGACTTGCAATGGATTTAAGTTAACAGCCTGCCATGTGGTTTGGTAGCATCGGGACTGTGCCTTTTTACTTGTCAAACTTGGGGCTTCTCAGCCTCAGCAGCTAGCAGCTGAGTGAAGAAACGCCTCTAGCTCCAGTAGACCAGGAGCAGGAGGCAGAGCTGGACCCCAAGGTTGAGGGGCTTTCACCCAGCCCCTAGAGGCTGGCACTTCGAACTTGGACTTAAAGCCTCCAAATTGTAAGAATAGACTCCCGTTTGCTAAGGCCATCCCATTTGTAGTATATTTCCTGTCAGAGTGGCACTAGGTAACCAGAACACCTTCCTATCATCAACACACAGCCAACTAATATAACCTACCAAAAAAAAAAAGTATGTAACCTGGACATTTTGATCTGTTATTAAAGACTACTATTACCTCTGGATACCCAATACCCAGCAGTGGATATGACACAGATTACACTGAAACTGGTTGAATTAATGAAGAATGAATGAATGAATTTATATTCTGCACTGGTAATAGATACCCAGTTCTGACCTTCCTAGGGCATGACTGGGTCAAGTGTTCTTACCTCTGTGACCCAAAGGCATTTGGTATTTTCTTTTCAGGACTGAATTATAGTTTTATGTCACATTCTTATCTTTCATGGATCACAAGCTCCCTGAGAACCGATTCTTGTATATCTTTGTATTCCCAGCCACTAACCCAGTTCTTGGCACAGAGCACAGGAATGAGAACGAGAAAGCATTGGGAGGCAAGATGGCAGCGTAAGCAGCTAAGCGCCCCAATCTTCTCATAACAAAACAGAAAAAACAAACAAACAAAAAACTCTCTTTTTTGAGGAATAAATGAGATAATTAGATTTAAAAGTTTTAGTGGTCAGGAGTTGTAAATTTGCAATCAAGTTTTCATAAGTCCTGTTTATTCATGGTTCGTGGTATATACGTTTTTTGGTGGTGGTGGTGATAGTATTGGCGATGGTGTGCCTTCAATAAACGTTTCATTGAGAAAATAGCAGCTGTCCATCAGGAGCCCCTATATCCCACCAGTAAATCCTCAAGCTAATTTTTTACTTATCTGTTTCAGTGGAGTAAAGGGTCCTTTCTTGTAGCAAAGGTCGATAGCTCCAAGTATGTCCTACAGCCTACTCTCTCGCCTCCTGAAAACCTTAGAACTTCAGCTATCTTTATCTTCCACCACCTCCTATTGCATCATTAGACATTAAACATAATCTAATTTCCCAGTTTAAAAAAGCCTCCTGACTCATACCTCCTTTCAGTTCCCACTCTATTTTGCTGTTTCCCTTCTCAAAAAGAGTTGTTCAATCACCACTTCTCTTCATTTCCCCTTCACTCTTCAACCCCAACCAGTCTGGCTCCCAACTGATGCAGTCGATACTTTCTAGTCTTCTCCTACCAGCCCTTTAGTACTTGTTTTTGTTGTTGATCACTTTCACCTTCTTGAAATACATTTTTGTGTGGGTTCTTTCACACAAAGAAAGAACTCTCTAGATTTCCTTTTACCTCTCTGGCTTTCCCTCATAGTCTCCTTTGCTGGCTCCTTCTCGATCCAGGTCTAAAGCAGTGATGTTGTTGTTATGTGCAGTTGAGTCGGCCCGACTCATAGCGACCCCTCCTTGGGTTTCTGAGGCAGTATCACTACGGAAGTAGGATTGCCCAACTTTCCTTCCAAGGAGTGGCTGGTGGGTTTGAACCGCCAGTCTTCTAGTTAGCAGTCAAGTGCTTTAGCCACTATGCTACCAGAGCTCCTAAAGCAGTGATACTCAAATGTTTTACATCCTCAGGCTACTTTATGAGCTACATAGGACCGCCAATTCTAGATATATTTACAATAATGATTAATATTATTCCATATAGGAGTTCTGGTGGAGCTATGGCTACGGCATTCAGCTGCTAACCAAAAGGTTGGTGGTTTGAACCCACCACCTGCTCTGTGGGAGGAAGAGGAGGCAGTCAGAGTTCTTGGAAACCCTGTGAGGTCACTATGAGTTGGAATTGACTCAATGGCAGTGGGTTTTATTTCATATAATAAAATGGCCTTGATATATATTATGCTGCTCTCTCTGCCTTGAACTCTTCCCATGAATGAAAGCATTTTGCTTGGCTGGATCCTGATCTTTTAGGTCTTGAGTCATTTCCAAAGAAAGGCCTTTTTATTACTATGACAGCATCCTGTTTTTTTTTTTTTTTTCTCCCTTCATCATGATAATAGCTAATGAGTAAATGAACTTAAAATGTGTCAGATCTATTCTGAGTGCTTTCAAACCAAAACCAAACCCGTTGCTCTAGTCAATTCCCATTCATTGCGACTCTTAGAGGACAGAGTAGAAATACCTCAAAGGTTTTCCAAGATGGTGCAGTGCCTAAGCCATTTGACTGCTAACCAGAAGTTTGGTGGTTCAAACCCACCAGCCTTCCCATGGAAGATAGATACGGCTAACTACCGTAAAGACTTACCACCTTGGAAACCCAATAGGGGTCGCTGTAAGTTGGAATCGATTTGGTGACAGTGGGTAATTTTTATGGAAGCAGACTTCAGAGGAGTGGCTGGTGGGTTCCAAAAGCCAATCTTTCCGTTTGCAGCCGAGCGCTTAACCACTGAGCCAGCAGAAGTGCTTTACATTGTATCGATTCAGTGTTCATAATAGCACGTTGTGTGGGGTAGTGCTATTATGATCATAAGCCCCATTTTACAGATGGGTAAATAAAGGCACAGAGTGACAGAGCTGGGATTATGAACCCAGGCACTCGGGTTTAGAGTCCATAGGCTTAACCATACTACAATACTTACCACAATTTGTATTGACATACTTGTGGCTTTATTTCTTTCGTTATTTTTCTCCCTCACTAATCTATAAAGTCTGTGGAAGCAAGGACTCTGAATAGTTAGGAGTTTAGTTTAAAGCACAGTACTGAGATGATTGTTAAATAAAAGAATCAGTAATTAAAAAAAAAAAAAAATTCCAGACTGGGAGACAGTAAATTTAGGACCGAATCTCCATATTCCGCGTAACCTTGTGGAAAGCGATTTATCTCTCCCTGATTTGTTTTCCCACCGTGTGAAATTCTTAAAGCTAGGTAAAAGAGGTGGTGAGCGCAGCGATTAGGAAAATGGAGTTGGAACACAGAATCAGAGTGCTGATCATTAGTTTCTTCCACTGAAGATGGCACCGTGCGCACCGCGTGGGACAAAAGGAGACGCTGTCTTTTTCTCCATTTCGGAGAGTAGTCTAAGCTTCAAGACGTAAATTCCTGTTTCTCACCGAGAAAAAGCTAGGGACGACAGAGCACCGGTGCAGCGAAGTCCCTAGGCTGTGCAGGCTCTACTGGGCTGGGGGCCTTCTCTGGAGGGGAGGAGTCCAGGCTCGGCCTTGGTGGGTCCGGCCCCCGGAGAGGCGGAAGCTGGGCTTGTTCTTGCCGCCGGGATTGGGCGCGACCCTGCGGGCGCGCGCGCGCGCGCGGGCGCGCGGCATGTTGGGAAGACGCCCGCGCGGCGGCCATTTTGTCTTATCGGCTTCTCAGTAGAGGAGGCTTTTTGGCCTGAGAGTGGGCCAAGGAGGCTGGAGGCGGTGTTGCTGGTGTTTTATTTGACGGGTGCCAGGGCTGGTGGGAGCAGCCGCCCGAAAAAAGCACCATGATTTCGGCTGCGCAATTATTGGATGAGTTAATGGGCCGGGACCGAAACCTGGCCCCGGACGAGAAGCGTAGCAACGTGCGGTGGGACCACGAGAGCGTAAGTCCCGCGGGCCTTGCGCCTGTGCCCGGGTTCCGTGGGGGAGGGGGATCAGGCGCGGGCTGGGGCTGGGCCCGGGGTGCTATTTGGGGCCGGTGGGCGCTGCCGGGGTCGATTTTGTCTGGCCGGCTGGCGGGAGAGAACTAAGATTGATGGCTCTGGAGGGAGGAGTCCGCCCCGATCTAGGCATAAGGGATGATTTGTTGTTGTTGTTCTAGTACCGTGGAAATCAAAGAGATTCCTTGGCCGAATTGAAAAAGTACCTTAAGGAGGCTTTGAAACGCGGGAAAGGGAGGATATGAGTATGTTATTAGTGCTAGAGGTTCAGGAGTTTGCATCTCATTATGAAAAAAGGGAAAGGGCAAAATCTTCCGTTATTTGGCTTAAGCGTCGTATTTAGACTGAATTTTTTGACCAGAATTGGTGGTAACAAATCATGTCAGTATCTTAGTTTAGTAATGGTTCGGTTTCGACGCTTATGAGGGGAAATAGAAATGTAAAATGAGTAATAATTTGAATAATGCTTACCGTGGTGCTAGAAATACTGATTGCAGTAAGTTCTCGTAAAATAAACCCCTCATATAGATGGTGGTCAAGGTTTTCCCTGCACACATACACCCACACACCCACCTACCTACCCACTTACCTCCTTTGATCCTTTTTAACCTTGTAAGTTTGGGTAACTACTGTAACCCCAGTCTCACAAGTGAGAGACTTGAGAGGCTTACCCGAGGTCTCTTGGCGAGTAAATGGCGAAACTAAACCTAATCTCACCTATCTAGTGTTGTTCACTTTCCACAACTCTGAAACTGGCTCTCTGTAAATGCTGTTACGTGTTGTGAGTGTTTTAATCTGATTTCGAACAAGCAGTGTCACGTTTGTTTTAGATCTTTCCTGAAGAATAGATGTAGAGTTTGCTTTTACTTTGCTTGCGATTGTAACCAACCAACCTGGTAATGTTAAAGCACTGCTAATGAAAATATAAAAGTAACAGTTAAACAAGTATGCTTTTTAAAAATTACTTGATTAATTTTTCAAATAGGCTTTGATCAGAGTAAAATACCTCTTTGGAGGTGTGTAGGAAGACAAGCTGACGTTAGATGAGTCGTTTAGCATCTGATTCCAAAGTAGAAATAAGAAGTGTTTGTTTGCTTTTGAGCTTTTTCCCACGTATCAGAATAGTAATTGTTATGTTGTTGTTATGTGCCATCGAGTCGGCCCCGACTCATAGTGACCCCTCCTTGGGTTTCCGAGGCAGTATCACTACGGAAGTAGGATTGCCCAACCTTCCAACCGCCAGCCGTCTGGTTAGCAGGCAAGTGTCTTAGCCACTATGCTACCAGAGCTCCCAGAATAGTAATTAGGTAACTTCATTACTTTACTTGTCTTCACCCTTTCCTTTCTAGGCATCTTTGTCACCATGAAGTGATTTTTATTTAACTAACTAAATAAATAAATAAATAGATCCCCCCACCTAACATAATCTAAGCTTTGAAGGGGGGGTACATTAGGATTCATCTACTGTACAAATAGGACATTTGTGTGTTTTGAGTAGGAAAAGAAAAATGATTTTGATCGTGTTGCTCCTAACTTGAGCAGCCTTGTTAGGTCTATACCTCTGGCTTTGAACAGCATATGTTTGTGAGGAAGCTGTTTTCGTGGTGGTACTGTATGTGATGAGTTTATGATATTAGCAATGGCAGGGCTGTCAGAATAGCAACTTGGGTTTTATGTAAGTGAAAATAATAAATCTGCTTTACTTTCAGTTTTTAGTCCTTGTCACCAGAATATTTTATGGCTTTAGTGACAGATTGCATTGGTTCTAGATTTGAAAAAAATCAATTACTGGTATTTCAGATTCATATCTGCAGGGAAAGGTTGGTGGTGTTAACTAGGAACAAAGCACATGGCCTCTTCTAAGTAAAATTATTGTAGGGTATAATAAAGCTTGGAAAGCTCATGACATCACTTCCGGTTCATTTGCATACCCTTGTGCGGTTGGCTGTTACTGTAATCCTGGAGGGATGTACAAACCCAGCCCATGATCTAAGGGTTTCACCATGACTGAGTTAGGTCTACTATTTCAAAATAATTTTACATTCCTAATTTATCTAGAAATTTTTATTTGCCAACATGCACTTTTCCCAGTAGATAGGAAAAGCCATTTCAGCTGGGTGGAGTTCTTTTGTTTTCCTTTGGAATTATTGTGTGCCATCCAGTCAGTTACAACTCATAGGACTACCCCATAGGTATTCTTAGGCTATAATTTTTACAGGAGCAGGTCACCAGATCTTTTCCCCCACAAACTGCTGGTGGAATAAAACAAAACCAAACTCAACTGCCATCAAGTTGATTCCGACTCAAAGTGACCCCTTTTGGGTTTCCAAGGTGGTAAATCTTTACGGGAGTAAATTGCCCAGTCTTCCTTCTGTGGAGTGGCTGGTGGGTTTGAACCACCAGCCTTCTGGTTAGCAGTCAAATCCCTTAGGCACTGTACCACTAGAGCTCCTTGCTGGTGGAATAGGGATAAATAAATGCCAAAAGAAAGATGGAACATTAGAGTAAAACTCCATTGCTGTGACACCTTTAGATATTTAACAACTGACATGGAGACTTTTCCATATCATTACAAGCAGTCCCTGAATCACTCATGGAGCTTGTTTTAAATATAGATACCTGAATCTCACTCCTTGTAATTTTTAGCAGTCTCCTGTTAAGCTTGTGAACTACTGTTTCCTGACCTACCCTTCTTAGTCCTGGATTTTTAATTTTACAGATTTGCACAATTTTTAGTTGGTAATAAATTTGTAGTATGTTCCAGTACTGTGTTTTTTCCTCTCTCCTTTCGTGGGTCAAGGAGGCCTGGTGGTACAGTGGTTAAGCAGTCAGCTCCTAACAAAAAGGTCAGCAGTTGAACCCACAAGCCACTCCTTGGGAGAGAGATGTGGCAGTCTGCTTCTACAAAGATTTACAGCTTTGGAAACCCTATGAGGCAGTTCTACTCTGTCCTGTACGGTCGTTATGAGTTGGACTAGACTTGATGGCTATGAGTTTTGTCATCAGTGATATGTGAACAAGTTTACTTGGAGAAGCTTGATTTTAAGTGAAGGACGGATCCGTAATGTAAATTATCAATCCTTATTTATTTGTGATAGTGTATATGTACACTATTCCTCGATGGGATTGATTGACACAGCAGCTGTAATGGCGGGCTCACGTGTGGCAGATTGTGAGGATGGTGCAGTACTGCACAGTTTCATTTTGTTGTACACAGGATCGCTGTGAGTGGGCTAACTCAGTGGCACCTAACAACAACAGCATAACTGCTATCAAGGTCAAATCTCTGCAAATGCTTTACTAGGGCTAGTAGTGCTTCCTAGGCATTTCCAGTTGCTTTGTAGATTGCTACCTCTGGATCTGAGAGATAGTAATTTTCATCTTAAATAAGCTTTCCTAATGTTCCAGGCATTCATTGACACCGACTCTTACCTGTTTGTATTTTGCGTTTGCTCGAGATTATTGATATTTTTGCATTATAAATGTTTATGTCTGCTTTGCTAACCCCAAACAACGGCAGTAATGAGCAAAGCATGCGATTGTAAATTCCTGTCCAGTGAGAGTACTTTGTATTTTTACTTGGGTCCATGTAGGAAAATTTCAGTGTTTTGTGAGAGAAGATACAGTAGCTATACTACTAGAAAGGAGCCCTGAAGCACAGTGGTTAAGTGCTCAGCTGCTAATTTGAACAGTTGGTGGTTGAACCCACTGGCTGCTGGGTGGGAGAAAGATGGGGGCAGTTCTGCTATTCTATCATATAGGGTTGCTGTGATTTAGAATCAACTTGATGACAGTGACTTTGGTTTTGTACTAGATAAAGATTGTTTTAGAGCTATATTTTAAACATCATTAGACTTGATTTCCTAACAAAGGGACTTTTTAAAATTAATATAGTGCTTTATTTTTTAATTTCCCCATCATTTCTTACCAGTAAGTTGGGGGCAATTCCTGCATTCATTTATTCAACAAAAGTGTACTGTTCTTACGGTGTATACAACAGAATAGTTACAGCAGTTGGCCTTAGGGAGCCAGTGGTCTGTCTAGTGGTGGATATGAAGGAGTAAAGATGCATTCATAACAGTGGGATGAGTGCCACAATGGGGAAAAAATAACAGGATATAGAGAGCAAGCAAGACGAGTACCTAACCCCGACTGGGATATTAGGGAAAGTTAGTGACTCAGGTACTGTCAAAGTGACTTTTGTTGTTGTTATGTGCCCTCTAGTCAGATCCGACTCATAGCAACCCCTCCTTGGGTTTCCAAGGCGATAACACTACAGAAGTAGATTGCCCAACCTTCCTTAGGAGGAGTGGCTGGTGGGTTTGAACTGCCAGCCTTCTGGTTAGTGGTCAAGTGCCTTATGCAGTACGCTACCAGAGTTCCTAAAAGTGACCTTTACATCCTAGAAAAACCCAAACTCACTGCTGTCTACTCAAGTTTAGGAGCTCTGGTAGCATAGTGGCTAAGACACTTGCCTGCTAACCAGAAGGCTGGCGGTTCAAACCCACCAGCCACTCCTCGGAAGGAAGGTTGGGCAATCCTACTTCCGTAGTGATACTGCCTCGGAAACCCAAGGAGGGGTCACTATGAGTCAGGTGTGACTCGACGGTACACAACAACAACAACAACAACTCAAGTTTAGACTCCTTAGTAACCATATAGGACAGAGTAGAACTGCCCCCATAGGGTTTCCAAGGCTGTTATTTTTTACAGGAGCATACTGCCACATCTTTCTCCCTCTGAGTGGCTGATGGGTTCAAAACACCAACCTTTTGGTTAGCAGCTGAGCTCACAACCATTGTGCCACCAGGTATCAGTCATCAAGTATCAGATTGACCCTTGCATGTTGATACTGTTGTTACGTGCCGTCGAGTCAGACCCAACTCATAGCTACCCCTCCTTGGGTTTCCGAGGCAGTATCACTACGGAAGGAAGGTTGGGCTGACTCGACGGCATATAACAACAACAACAACAACAAATCACTGCGGAAGTAGGTTGCCCCATCTTCCTTCCAAGGAGTGGCTGGTGGGTTTGAACCACCAGCCTTCTGGTTAGCAGTCAAGTGCCTTAGGCACTACGCTATCAGAGCTCCCGACCCTTGCATACTGGGACTTAAAGAATTTATAGGAATTAGCCTAAGGGAGGGAGAGAAGACAAATATTACTTACTTACCTGGAGAAAATTGTGCATCTGGGAAATTACAGTGTTACAGTTGGAGCCCTTGTTTGTTTTTTGTTGGGGGGCAGTAGATAGATAGTTTTAACAGTGTTTGTAAGACTCATTTTAAGGTTTGAACTTCTTTACATTGGGAAACAATTGAAGGCTTTTAAGCAGGAGAGAGGTTTACTGTCTGGCTGCTGTGGATAATTGAAATTGCATTGAAAGTTGTGTAGGCAATAAATAGAGCATGAGCATGGCTGCAAAGATGTATATGTAATAAAAGCCTGGGAATGAATGGCTGTAGAAAGTAATCATAGTATACCTGAAACATTAAACAATATTTTTTTTGTTATAAATTCTTTTATTAAAAATAACTTCAACTCAACTAAGTATAAAACATTTTAAAGTCTCTGTCATTGAGTATCAGATTGACTGTTACCAATGTGATGAATTAAAAATTCCAGTATTTTAGCTACTGGATGTATTGAATAAATACATAGTGTTTTTGACTTGTTTGGAAAATGGAATTTAACATTTGTTAGAGCCACCTTGAACCTATCCAAGGGTGTTAGTAGCTTACCAAAAGAAGCAAGATCTTTATGGCATCCTACAGAATACAGGATTTAGCTGTGGTTCTATATTTATGGAAGTTTGTAGAGACATGTATATGTGACTTAATAATTTGAAGGCTTTGCTAGGTTTTATAACTTTAGCTGATCTGAATGTTAGGCATGAAACAACTGGACAGACATTCTGCTGATTTTGAGAAAGCATTTTAACAAAAATTGCACAGTATTGATAATTTTTGATTCAATCAAGAGAGAATTATATTGCTTACTGTTAGATTCAGGTAAGTATAGAAAGATGAAAGTACTGAAATAGTTTGCTTTTGTGAGAGAAAGAGCTCTGAATTGATGACCAGAGTTCAAGAGTGCCTGTGTTGGACACAGGGAAGAGGCAACTATGGGGAGGAAGTGGGAAGAGAGCTGTTGCGTTGTGGGAAATTGCAGTCAGTGTCATGAGACAAAGTGTACGTGAACTGCTTTATGGAAAAAATTTGCTCTGTAAACTTTCACCCGAATCACAGTTAAAAAAAAAAAAAACACCACAAACCTAAGGAGGAATACTATGGCATTAATTAAAAAAAAAAAAAAAAAAAAGAGTGCCTGTGTTGGAAGAAAAGAGCAGTGGTTAAAGCTGCTAACCAAAAGGTCAGCCATTTGAATCAGTGAATCTACCTCCTCCATGGGAGAAAGATGAGGCAGTCTGCTTCTGTAAAGATTTACAGCTTTGGAAACCTTACAGGGCAGTTCTCCTGTGTCCTATAGAGTCCCTGTGAGTTGGAATCAGCTCAGTTTGGGTTTTCTTGGGGGAGGAGGGTGTTGGAAGAAGTAAGTACTTACAAAAAGGATGGCTTTTGTTAAGTGTCTCAGCATTTCCCCAATTAAATGTTTTGTGTTTATTTTATCCCCCCTGCCATGTGTTTAAATCTTCCTCATGTTAAATGCTTTCTCATATAAACATTTGATTCCATTAATTAGGAACTTGATTTTACTAGTTTGGTTTCTCTGAGTTTAGAACCATGAAAGTGGGTTTTTTATGAAATAAACATTCTTACTATAAAAGAGGCAAATTTAGCATGGATGTAGAAAGTAGAAGGTCTGTCCTTTCCTCCTCTCCTCACCACCAAATCCTCCCCCAAAACAATTTTAAAGTTGGTATGTATGTTTCCAGACTTTTCCTAATAATTTATAGGCATAAGCAATTTATGTATTTGTTGTTTGTTTTTTAAACAACTTTTTCATATGTACTGTGAGAATTTTTCCTGGTTGGTATATATGAATTGACCGTAATTGAATTGTTTGTTTCCTGGTGCATATTTGCCATGAACATTCTAATTCTAATATGTGTATCTTTAAGCCAGGTGTAGGATAAAGTCCGAGTAAGATAATAACTAGGTTAAAGGAATGAATTTTACATTTTCATGGATGCTGCCAATTTCCACTTAGCCCTCTAGTGTTGTTTAGAGTGCCATTTTTTTCAGCACTGCATCCAGTGCCAGAAAATGCTTTAAATTTTGGTAATTTGTTAAATAATTGTGGGGTCCATGGAAGCACGGTTAATAGCCTGAAAGATTATAGGTATACATGGTGAAAGTGGTAGACTGTTTGCCCCTGTCCTTCCTCCTCTAGATAAGATTCTTTAAAGGAAATATTTTTTAAAATTGAAAATTGTCATTGATATTTTATTGCAGTACGTTTAAAGTGAATGCAACGTTTAATAAACCAGACTTTAATAGCTATAAAAACATTTCATATGAGATTTGAAGATAACTTAAAAGTTAACCATTCATTTTTAAATAATTTATTTCTAAGAACAATTTTTAGGTCGCAAAGAGTAATCTTTTAAGTATTAGAAGAACTTGGAAAGAAAAGGATAATACTATAAAGATACTAAGACAAAGGACCATATAATACTGACATAAAACTAAACCTGTGTTGTTTATGAACTTACTTCTTTTTTTTTTTTAAATGAACTTAATTCTTAAGACCTTTTACAAGAATTTTTAAATGAAAATACTGAACGATATTTCTTCAGATTGATGATATCTGTGATTTACATGGTGATTTCTAAAATCCTGATCTGTACTTTGACCCTGGTCTATAACAAGATCAGAGCAATAAAGATTGTGTTGGGTTTTCTTTCTATTTTTAAATAAAATAAAATTTCCTGTTATTCTGGGATGTCTTTCCCATATTTGTTGGTATTATGGGAGTGGATGGGATAAAAGTACATAGTAGAAAATGGTGGTAACTCTTGTCAGCCCTGCGCATTTTTCTCTTATGAAATCTAGGAGTCTGAAAGTCACTACTTAATTTGCTTAATTAATACAGTTTAACAAATGACAATTTTCTTGTACTTACTTGATTTAAAGATGCAAAGGTCAAACAAATGAGTAAATAGTTGTTTGATGTCATTTTCTAATACAGTTTTTAAACTGAGCAATTAAAAAAGTTAAGTACTTTGTTTTTCTTTACTAGGTTTGTAAATATTATCTCTGTGGCTTTTGTCCTGCGGAATTGTTCACAAATACTCGTTCTGATCTTGGTAAGTGCATTTTGTGTGACTTTCATCAAATTTATGATTTGTGTTCTTTAACTGGTCCTTTATAATTCTGGAATTTATTTTTTCTAAAGGTTTGCTCATAACTTGTTGCTTCTTGGCTTAGATTTTTTAATGTATTAATAAATGTCAGTCTGATTAAACATGGTGACTTAATTAAACATACATGTTTATTTCCACTCCCTCCCAAAAACCCACAAAAATGAAAATTAAAAAACAAAAACTGTAAATGGAAGAGGAGATAACATTAAGATGCCAACAAATTTTTGGAAGATGGCAAATGGATGGAGGAGTAACAACAACAAAGCAGAGAAACCTGTACTCTAAAAGCCTGCAGAAGGGGATACTAAACAGAAGCGAGTGTTTGATCAGCAGAACTCTGGACAGGCTCAGAATTTGGAGGCACCAGGTACCATAGAAGGCAGGGTTGAGTTATGGGGCTGAAAGGAAGAGAGATTTGTCTAGTTTAGGGTTTCACTTCATGCTGTTGACATGTAGGGCTGGATAATTCTTTGTTGTAGGGAGCTTTCTGTGCATGATAGGATGTTTAGTAGCATTCCTGGCATCTACCTACTAGATGCCACTAGCACCTCACCCACCCCCACCCCAACTTTGATTACCAAAAATGTTTCCAGACATAGCAAAAAAAAACCCTGGAGAACCACTAGTCTAGTTGATGAAACTCACAGGTCCTGTGCATTTGGTAAATCCTCCCTCCTAACCCCTATACTTTACTGAAAAATAGGTTATTTTTTGATAAACTGGACTAGGGTGACTCTATCTGAACCACAGAATAATGTAAACTGTGATTTGAATGAGTGTTTTCTAAGTTCTGCCAAGGATGGTATAGTCTAACTAAGTACCATTCTGGATGCATTAAGAGAGAGGCTAATTCCTTTTGTACAGTGGTTTCCTTGGTTCATTAGGGACACATTAGGGGAGTCTAGATACTGGGATTCCAGACACAACACAGGGCAGTCATGAGTAAGAAATGAGACTATGAAAGGTAAAATTGAGTCTGTATTCTAAATAGTGGGGTTCCCCTGTCCCCTTCTTCTGCCCTGTTCCTAGAAGAATACAGCCAGAAGATAAGATGATTCTTCTCTAGAGAAGTGAACAAACAATTCCAAAGAACTTATCTACAGGTACTAATCCTTGGGAATCTCCAAAAGAAAGTCTTACTACCTGGTTTTCCTATGGTAAAGCCCATTAGTTGACAAACACTGCCTATGCATACCAACTTCCAGTCAGGTTTTAGAGGTATCTTTTAAAAATCAATTGCCATCCAAGGAGCACCAACCAGCCATGTGAAGAAAACTTTGAACATGAAAAATTAACCAAAACCAACAGAAAAAAAGAATTTAGTAGAATTAGAGATAATATGGAAAGCAGAAGAACAAAAAAAAAAAAGTCTTAATATCCTCAGAGAGATAAGAGAAAATACTGTATAAGAAAGAATAGTATGCTATAAAAAGAGAGCTTTTAAAAAAATTTCTAAGGAAATTTTTAGAAATTAGAACAGGAGAAATCTGAAGTAAAAATCAGTGGAAAGATTTGAAAATAAAGTGAAGGAAATTTGCCAGAATATTGACAATAGGACAGAAAAGATTAAAAAATAAAATGAGAGGATCAGCCTCGGAGCTCTAATACCTGATTGGGTTGCAGATAGGCAAGACAGAAGGGAGGAGATTATCAAAGAAATACCACGGGGAAAATATTTTGTAGACTGAAAGGTATCAGTCTCTGAATTGAGTGGATCTTCAAGCGCTCAGTACACTGAGTGAAAAAAGAGATCCATGTAAAAGCACATCATGGTGAAATTTCAGATTACCGAGGATAAGAGTTGGGGGCAGATCACAGGATTGTGAATTAGAATGGCCTCAGACTTATCAGTAACAGCATTGGAAGCTTGAAGACATTGGAGAAACACCATCAGGGTTCTGGGCAGATACATTATACCTAGGTTATCTCTGTAGTCAGACATCAGTGTATGAGGTTGAAAAAAGACATTTTCAGGCATGTAGGGTCTCAGTGTGGACCTTTTCTCGGGAAACTCCACCAGAGCATGGGCAAGAAGGAGAGAAACAAGAGCCCCAGCGAACTACATCCGATACAGAGCAGAAAAGAAATTTCTCAGGATGACACCTGTATTGCAAAATTAGAAAATAAGCAGCCCAGTTTTTAAAGCAGGACAGAAAACTCATGGAAACTGATTCTCTGAAATATTTTGAGTCTTGTGGAAAATTAGTATTGAGATTAATTTTTATAGCTGAGTTGCAGTTGTTCAAAAGAATTTGCAAATAGTTACATAGAAAGCTAAAGAAATGAAAAGGAGAAATAATAATTCTGAGAAGAGTATGAGGTATATTAGAAGTGTCATCATAATGTACCTTTTGTTTGGTTAGGTACTGAAAAGTACTTGGTTAATCAAAATACAAACACTGGACATTGATTTAAGCTAAAATTTTGATGTGTAGGGTTGATAAACCAAGAAAAAGCAAATTAAACCTAGAATTTAGAAATATGGAGGTAAATTCCAGAAGTAACAGCTAAAAGAGTTGGAATTACTGCTTCTTGACTAGTCTTGCACTACTTGATTTTATATGCAGGTATTTGAAATTAATAAGTATATAAAATGTCAGTGGTGGTTCAGACCAGTGATCTACCCATCACACTGTTCTTTGGTGGCAATAAGGAAGAGTTTTCTATTTTCCTCTTTTTTTTTTTTGTTTTTTTCTCATCATATAATTGTTCTCCATTATATTGACTTTGAAGACCAATTTTCATGTGCTTGTGTGGACATTGTTTTACTATTCAGTAATAGTAATTTAGGTGTCTACAAACTATTCAGTGGTAAAATGGATCTTTTTTCCTTTTTTAAAAAACTTTTTTTTGCAAGAAGTGGTTAATACCACAAATATTGTATACATTCCTATTTCTCATTCTTTCTCTTCCAGGGCCATGTGAAAAAATTCATGATGAAAATTTACGAAAACAGTAAGTTGTTGCTTTTTTATTTTACTTGTCGTTTAGTTAAAAGAAAAACGTTGAAGAAATAATGAAAAATTAATGATAGAGATTCTATGTACTGGTTAGGGGTTGTAGGAAAGTTAATGTGGTTTCAGTACTGTGCACTCCAGTAGAAAGCAAAAGGTCATTTAGAAGACAGGAGTGGAAGAAAAGACCAAAGTGGCTGACAGAAGAGACTCTGCAGCTTGCTCTTGAATGTAGAGTAGCTAAAGTGAACGGAGGAAATGGAGTAAAAGAGCTGAACAGAAGATTTCAAAGGGCAGTTTGAGAAGACATGGTAAAGTAGTATAATGAAATATACAAAGACCCAGAGTCAGAAAATCAAAATGGAAGAACAGGCTTGGCGTTTCTCAAGCTGAAAGAACTGAAGAAAAAATTCAAGCCTCAAGTTGCAATATTGAAATATTCTGTTGGCAAAATACTGAACAATGCAAGAAGCATCAAGAAAAGATGGGAGGAATACAGAGGCACTGTACCAAAAAGAATTTGTCCGTGTTTGGCCATTTCAGCAGGTAGTATATGGTCAAGAGTTGATGGTATTAAAGGAAGAAGTCCAAGCTGCATTGAAGGAATTGGCGAAAAACAAAACTCCAGGAGTTGATGGAATACCCATTGAGATGTGTCAACAAATGGATGCAGTGCTGGATGTGCTCACTCATCTATGCTAAGGAATTTGGATGACAACTGCCTGGGAGAGATCCATATATGTATGTGCATGTTCCAAAGAAGGTGATCCAACACTATGTAGCAGTTACTGAACAATATCCTTAATATGACACACAAGTAAAATTTTGCTGAAGATAATTGAACAGTTGCAGGAGTACATTGGTAGGGAAGTGTCAGAATTTCAAGCCAGATTCAGAAGTGGGTGTGGAATAAGGGATATTGCTGATGTCGGATGGATCTTGGCTAAAAGCAAAGAATACCAGGAAGATGTTTGTTTGTGTTTTATTGGTTATGCAAAGGCATTTGACTGTGGATCATAACAAATTATGGATAACATTGTGAAGAATGGAAATTCTAGAATGCTTAATTGTGCTCATGGGGAATCTGTACATAGACCAAGAGGCTGTCGTTCGAACAGGACAAGGGGATGCTGCCTGGTTTGAAATCAGGAAGGATGTGCATCAGCATTGTATCCTTTCCCCATTTATTCACTCTGTATGCTGAGCAAATAATCTGAGAAGCTGGGCTATATGAAGAAGAATGGCATTAGGGTTGGAAGAAGACTCACTAATAATCTGCAATATGCAGATGACCTAACTTTGCTTGCTGAAAGTGAAAATGACTTGAAGCACTTACTGGTGAAGATCAGAGACTACAGTCTTCAATATGGATTATACCTCAACATAGAGAAAACAAAAATCCTCATACCTGGACCAATAAACATGATAAATGGAGAAAAGATTGAAATTGTCAGAGATTTCATTTTGTTTCAACACCCATGAAAGCAACAGTCGAAATCAGATGTTGTATTGTGCTGGACAAAACCTACGGAAAACCTCTTTACACTACTAAGAGGCAAAGATATCACTTGAAGACTTAAAGTGTGCCTAACCCAATCCTGGTGTGTTCAGTTGCCTCATTTGCATGTGAAAGCTGGACCTTGAATAAGGAAGATGGAAAAGCGTTGATGCCTTTGAATTGCGGTGTTGGCCAAGCATACTGAAAATACCATGGCCTGCCAGAAGAACTAACAGATATAACCTTGAAAAAGTGCAGCTAGAATGCTCTTTAGAAGTGAGAATGGGCAGACTTCCCCCTTCTCTTATTTTGGTCATGTTAGAAGGGACCAGTCCCTGGAGAAGATACCATGCTTATTTAAGTAGAGCGTCAACAAAAAGAGGAAGATCTTCAAGGAGATAGGTTAACACAGTCACTGAAAATGATGGGCTTAAGCATAGCAAAGATTTTGAGGATGGCACAGGAGGACTGGGCAGTGTTTATTCAGTTATACATATGGTTGCTATGAGTTGAAACTGACTCCACAGCCCTTAATAACAACAACACAGTAGAGCTGGCATTTGAGCCAAGATTTCCCTAATTATAAAATCTGTGTTTTTGACCAACTACAGTGCTATACAGCTTCCTTTCACTAGGATGAGGGGCAACCATCGCTTTGTATATATATACCTGAGTTACCCTTCAGCTGAAAATTAAGAGTAGTTAAGATGAGTATGTAAGTTGTAATGTTTGTTTACTTACTAATTTTTTGTCAGGTATGAGAAGAGTTCTCGTTTTATGAAAGTTGGCTATGAGAGAGATTTTCTGCGATACTTACAGAGCTTACTTGCAGAAGTAGAACGTAGAATTAGACGAGGCCATGCTCGTTTGGCATTGTCTCAAAACCAGCAGTCCTCTGGGGTAAGCATGAGATGAATTTATGGGTTTTTGTAAAGTGTTCTTGTTCTCTGAAGACCCAGAGACTTCCATATATTTTAAAATTTGCCTTCCTTATTCATTATTCTGTGTTCTTTTAGAATGATTTTTAAAATACATTCCTTTTTTTCCAGTCTGTGTTAGTAAATGTACCGCTAATCATAAGATTTTATTTCTAAATGTTAGTAACTAATGAAATATTTAACAGAAAATAAAGGGTAATAAGTTATGATATTTATAATTAGCAGTTTAGTTATTAGATACAAATATTGTGTATGGTATGTGACAGCTTGAATATTTCTCTTTTTACTTGTGGATAATGCATTTTATTATCTTCAATAGGCAGCTGGCCCAACAGGCAAAAATGAAGAAAAAATTCAGGTTCTAACAGATAAAATTGATGTACTCTTACAGCAGGTGAGAATTATGTGCATTAATGTCAGAAAATACTTAGACACTTAACCAAAGAAGATACAAGAATGACGAATAAATAGGAAATGGTGCTCTACATTGTTAAATCATTACCCAAAAAAAGTGCTATTGTCATTGAGTCAATTCTGACTCACAGCAACCCTATAAGACATACTAACTGCCCCATAGTGTTTTCAAGGCTGTAAAAGTTTACGATTTCTCCCAAGGTGCTGTAAGTGGATTCAAAACACCAGCCTTTTGCTTAGCAGCTGAATGCTTTAACTACTGCACCACCAGAGCACCTTTGTCATTTGTTAGAGAAATACAAATTAAAACCACAATTTCACAGCTAACAGAATGGCTAACATTGAAAAAACTGACCATACCAAGTGTTGGTGAGGATGTGGAGCAATGGGAACTATTGTACACTGTTAGTGGGAATGTAAAATGGTACAACCACTTGGAAAGGAGTTTAAACTTTAAAAGTTTAAAATGTAGCACTAGCCATCCAATCCTAAGTATTCACCAAAGAGAGATTAAAAACAAAACAAAAAACCACTGCCGTTGAGTCAATTCTAACTCGTAGTGACCCCTGTTGAGTTTCCAAGGCTGTAAATCTTTATAATAGTAGATTGTGTCATCTTCCTCTTGCAGAGCAGTTGGTGGGTTTAAACCACCAACCTTCTGGTTAGCAGTCAAATGCCTTATCCACTACGGCGCCAGGACTCCTTAAAGAAAAAGTAAAGCACATCTGTTCAAAGAATTGTATATCAATGTTCATAGCCCCTTTGTTTATAATTAACAACAATAACAACAAAAAAGCAACAAAAGTGGAAACAGTCTAAATGTCCATCCACAGGAAATGGATAAACGATTTATGGTTTATACATACAATACTGAATACTATTGAGGAATAAAGGAGTACGAGCTGATTGGTAGTGACAGAAAGCAGGTCAGTGGTTGCCTGGGGTTGGAGTTGGAGGCAGTGCTACACAAAGAATGAGGAAACTTTTCAGGATGATGGATACGTTCATCATCTAGATAGCAGTAATTTTATGGGGTTTAGGCTTATGTCAAAATTTACCAAACTGCACTTTAAAAATGTACAGTTTATTAAATGTCAATTTTACTTCAGTAAAGCTGTAAAACATCAAAAGTGTTCATTAAACCTAAAAGGGCTGCAGAAACAATAAAACTAACCAAACAAAAAAACCCAACACAATCATTGCATGCTAGTGAAAGTTGGGAAGTACAATACTTGGGACGATTTGGTTAGAAAGGTGTATTGACTGCTCTTTTTTTCCCCTTAGATTGAAGAATTAGGATCTGAGGGAAAGGTAGAAGAAGCCCAGGGAATGATGAAATTAGTTGAACAGTTGAAAGAAGAGAGAGAATTACTTAGATCCACAACCTCGGTGAGTAACTCACAATTTAAATTACCTAGCCTGTTCACTGAAAATTACTTGGGACTTAATTCTATAAAGGAACCTTTGGAAGCAGTTTTCTAACGCTCTTAATCAAGGGTCATCAAACTGCTTTAAGGACCACATAAACAAAAAAAAAAAAACCAGACTCACTGCCATCAAGTCTATTCCAACTCATAGCAATTCCCAGTGGGTTTCTAAGGCTATAAATCTTTTTCTTGTTGTTTTTTGTTTTTTATTGTGATTTGGGTGAAAGTTCGCAGAGCAAATTCATCTTCCATACAGCAGTTCACATAACACCTTGTCTCATGACATTGACTACAATTTACCACAATGCAACAACTCCCCTCCCATTTCCTCCTGACAGTCACATCTTCCCTGTGTCCATCCCTCCATGCACTCCTGTCCCTGATCTGTCTCCTTGTACATAAACAGCCCTTCTTTCTCCCATGATTATTCTCTCCAAGGAGTGTATTTACCTCGGGTAAATGCTCAACTCATATGCCTGTCTTTTGCTTGGCTGGAAGGCACAAATGTGGGCTCAACTCCAGACCTGAAGGGCAGCTAGGGGCCATATAGTCTCAGTGTTCTACCAGGCTCTATCAGACCATATGGCTGTAAATCCTTATGGTAGCAGACTATCCCATCTTTCTTCCATGGAGTGTCTGGTGAGTTTGAACCACCAACCTTTTGGTCAACAGCCAAATGCCTTAACCACTGTACCACCAGAGCTCCCTGAGGACCATGCAATAAATATTTTTTTAAATTTCCAGGCCACTTATCATCTTCTTCCTTAACTATTTTAATTGATTTTTTTTTTTTTTTTTTTTAAATTATGGAGGCCACAACTTTAGTCTGTTAATCCTAACCAAGAAATAAATTCAGGCTAAAATGGATTGCTTTCTGAAAGAGGTCTGTCAGAAAGCAATCCATTTTTGCCTGAATTTATTTCTTGGCTAGGATTAACAAACTAAAGTTGTGGCCTCCATTAATTAAAAAAAAAAAAAAACTTAAAAGAACAGTACTTTTTTGGGGATTTGTTTGTTCTCTTTTCCTTTGATATTCTTAACAGTAACTAATTTATTCTTTTAGACAATTGAAAGTTTTGCTGCCCAAGAAAAACAAATGGAAGTTTGTGAAGTGTGTGGAGCCTTTTTGATAGTAGGAGATGCACAGTCCCGGGTCGATGATCATTTGATGGGCAAACAACACATGGGCTATGCCAAAATTAAAGCTACTGTTGAAGAATTAAAAGTAAGTTTCTTATAAACATACTATAGCTACAAATGATCACATGGGGATAGAAACCTCTTGTTGATATTTTACTGGTTTGTGTAATGATATGAAGCAGTGATAATTCTTGGCAGAATACTTCATTTTCTTCAGTCTTGAGTGTGAGCGATTTGGGGGGAAGAATATTCCTGAGAGGATTAAGTCAAATAATGGTAATTTCATATACATACATGATGTTGCTGTGTTTACATTGCCCTTTAAGACACTAAATTCCATAGGTTGGTACTATTTGCCTGATATTAGGTGACTTTTGTTTGACAGTGTCTTCGAGGTTATAGTTGTTTAAAAATCTAACTTGATTTCCTTAGGAAAAGTTAAGAAAAAGAACCGAAGAGCCTGATCGTGATGAGCGTTTAAAAAAGGAGAAGCAAGAGCGAGAAGAAAGAGAGAAAGAGCGGGAGAGAGAAAGGGAAGAAAGAGAGAGGAAAAGACGAAGAGAAGAGGAAGAAAGAGAGAAAGAAAGGGCTCGTGACAGAGAAAGAAGAAAGAGAAGTCGTTCGCGAAGTAGGCACTCGAGCCGAACTTCTGACCGAAGATGCAGCAGGTCTCGGGACCACAAGCGATCACGAAGTCGCGAAAGAAGACGAAGCAGGTATACAGAACACCTGTATGTGCCTGGCATGTGGTGAGCGCAGGAAATGGTAGTAATTATTAGGGTTACTCCTTGGAATGAAGCTTGAAGTGGAGTTGAGCATAGTAACATGGATTATGAAATTATGATCTGTTTTCAGGACAACTTCTTTGCTATTTCACCAGTCTAAGGAGGTTTGACATAGTCTTATTAGGAAGGAAGTGTCCCAGATGGTCTCAAGTGCTTCTCATTGATTCTGAGATGGGTTTTAAATTGTCGATTATTTTTTAATAAAATTGGAAAACCAAGTCCACTGCCACCAAGTCAGTTTCAACTTAACAACCCTATAGGACAGAGAGAACTGCCTCGTAGAATTTCCAGGGTTGTAAATCTTTAAGGTTACCTACTCTTCTTTTGATTCCAACATCAAATATAATATAAGAACTAAAATAATCAATATAACTAACCATTTTAAAACATGAAAATAAGAAATTAACTTTACTGTTTATAGTTTTGACTAACCTACCCACTGCCATCGAGTTAATTCTGACTCATAGCAACCCCCATTGGGTTTCCAAGACTGTAAAACTTTACAGAAGTAGAATGCCTCATCTTCCTCCCACAGAGCAGCTGACGAGTTTGAACTACTGCCCTTCTGGTTAGCATCCAAATGCCTTACGCAGTATACCACCAGAACTCCTTAGTTTTGACAGAAGAAGAATCTTAAAAAGCATAATGGTAACCTTAGTAGCACTATTAGAGATAAATAGAATATAAGGAAGAATTTGAATAATTTTCAGTTCTTGCCATTTCAATTCTTAAAAATTATTTTAAGTCAAATTCTTAAGAATTGAAAATATCAGTATGTTTTACTAGTAAATTCTATTCATAGGTCTCTGAAGGGTAAATTTTGCTTAATCTTGTTAAGCATTCAACAGTATTTAATTCTTCAGGGCATTTTCTTGTAATACCAGCTGATATTGCTTTCTTTTTATTTCAAATTACTAAGAAGTAGAGATCGACGAAGAAGCAGAAGTCACGATAGATCAGAAAGAAAACATAGATCTCGTAGTCGGGATCGAAGAAGATCAAAAAGCCGGGATCGAAAATCATACAAGCATAGGAGCAAAAGTCGGGACAGAGAACAAGATAGGAAATCCAAGGAGAAAGGTTAGTTTACGTGAGAGTTTAAATTCTGTAAGAGACTGTATCTTCATACTCTTGTGTCCTCACTCAGTTTTTCCCAGACTTGAGCAAAGTTCTGTTACCTTTTAGGTCCCTTCAAGCAGTACTCTTCTTCGGTCATTTAGGGTAGGAGACAAGCATTCTTTCCCCCTCTCCTGCTCTCATTTTTAACAATGACAGGTGGTCTGAGGTTTTTTTTTGTGTGTGTGATTTGGATGAAAATTTACAGAGCAAATTCACTTCCCATACAGAAGTTTACATACACTTTGTCTCATGATATTGATGACAATTTACCACAATGCAACAGCTCCCCTCCAACTACCTCCCAATAGTTACCTTTTTTCCCCCTGTGTTCATCCCTCTATGCATTCCTGCCCCCTGAGCTGTCTCCCTGTGTTTAAACACCCTTCTATTTTCCCATGATTGTTTTCTCCAGGGAGTATATCTACCTAATTTAAATGTTCACCTCATATGCCTGTCTTTTGTTTGGCTGGAAGCCACAGGTATGGGTTCAATTCCAGACCTGAAGGGCAGCTAGAGTCCATACTACCATTGGTTCCACCAGGCTCTATCAGACCAGCAAACCTGGTCCCCTACCCACCTCTTTTATATTCCAAATGATTTTGAGTTTTGTTCTACATTGTTCTCCCTCTCTATCCAGGATCTCTTACGTAGATCCTCCTCTGAGTGGTTGACAGTGGTAGCTGGGCACCATCTAGTTCTTCTGGTTTCATAGTCGTATAGGCTGCAGATTGCATGGTGTACCAGTCGCTAGGACTAATTGTTTCCATGAATTTTTGGTTTTCTTCATTCTTCTTTGCTCTGGACGAGGAGAGACCCATCGTTGTTGCATCTAGATGACTGCTTGCAAGCTTTTAAGATCCCAGTCACTACTCGCCAAAGTAGGAGGTAGAACAATGTTTTGTGTAGTATGTTATGCCAGTTGAGCTTGATGTCCCCTGTGACTATGGTCCTGAGCCCACAGGTTCAACTGCTCGCTCCCTCTGGGTAGCTGGCTGTGACCAGGAAGTGACTACAACCTTGTCCCTTGTCAGCTCTACTATACACCTGGGAATTCTGACCATTTCATATAAACTTATAGGACTGTTGTCTGCCAACCCTATACATGTTCTTGGACACACTCTTCATTTTATAGACATACCTAATAGTTCAGCCTGTCCACCCATCTATCCATTTGTATACCCATGTTTGCCTTCACTGACAACGCAGTACTATATTGTGCAAAAGGTTCATCTTTGGTGTCTGTGCCTCTCGTGTACCTCTCTATGTCTTCTTCTTCCTCAGTGCCACCATGTTGATCACTCACATTTGGTACATTGCCCTTCACCCAAATCAATACTTAATCTCTACCTGTGTAACAGTGTTCCCTCCCCTCCCCTCTCACCCCTAATAACCAACAAAGGAAATTTCCTTCCATAGATAAACCTTTCCTTGACTTTTATAATAACAGACTAATACAATATTTGTCCTTCTGTGATTGACTTATTTCACTCAGCATAATGTCCTGCAAGTTCATCCACGTTATGCAGTGTTTTGCAGATTCTGGGTTATTCTTTAGGGTTGCATAGTATTCAGTTGTGTGTATGTCCCATGGTTTGGTTACCCATTCCTCAGTTGGTGGACACCTAGGTTGTTTCCATCTTTTGGCTGTTATAAATAGTGCTGCAATGAACATAGGTGTGCATATGTCTGTTCTTGTCATGGCTCTCACT